GGTCGGCCGCGGCGACGAGGCCATCCCCAGAAAACAATGTAAGCAGGAACAGAAATCCAAAGACCCCCCTTTTTCCCAGTATGATCAAGCATCCCGCCCTCCTCATTAGGAGCGTGTCAGGGTGCTCTTGGGCTCTTGGAGCCTTTTCGAGTCTGGAGTGTGTGCGTGATCCAATGTGTAGCAGCAGCATTGTGCATGATATGCGCTCTGTAATGTTTCGGCTTAGGCGCTTTGACCAGTTTTAGCTACATATCAAAAGCATCGAGCGATATCAGCGATATCCGCCACGTCAGTGGCAGCGGAGCGGTTCATCCGCGGCTGTGCCGGCGGCGCCGGCACTGTTGGCCTCAGCGAGGCCCTGGCTGCTGCGCGGCCATCTGCAGCGCAGAACATCAACTTCGAGAATTTCTTGGCGAGTTTGATGCTTGGATTTGTCTTGTGGTTGTTTCTGTATCTCGTTGGAGGCCCGACGACGCTAGCAGAGATGACTTCCAGCCAAGATGATGACAAGTATCAAGGAGCAGACGCCTACGTTCCACACTGGGACGGCAATCCCGCTTCCTGGCACACGTACAAGGACGAGGTCAGGATTTGGACGCTTGGACTGAACTTGGATGTGCCATACTCGCTCGCAGCTCGGATGATTCGCAAGCTCAAAGGTGCAGCGAGACGGAAGGCCCTCACGCTCACGAGTGAACAGTTGCAGCCTTTCCGTGGAGTACCTGGGCGACGAAACGAGGAAGGTCTGGTCACACGCGAAGGAGTTCCACCGGACCTCGAGCGGGGCATCCGCATCCTGATGGAGGTTTTGGAGACGCTTTGCCCGCCGAAGGTTAGCAGGAAGGGCGAGACGATGGCGGACTTCTTCGAGACAATGAAGTACCAGCGTCGGTTGGGCACGAGGATTTCTGATTACATCACGGTGTTCGACCAGGGAGTGACTCGGCTCATAGATGATGGAGTTGATTTTTCGGACGACTCTGACATTTTGGGGTATTTCTTCATGAGGCGACTCAATATTACAAAGGAGCAGCGTGAGAGACTGATTGCGGCATTACCGAGCGAGACGTTCCAGCTTCGAGAGGTTCAGACCACAGCGATGCGGATTTTCCAGGATATACACTTAACAGAAAGAAGCCTGCCTCGACGACCTGACCCCGAGCGGCCACCTCACAAGGGAGCTCGACCTCCGGCGAAGCAGGTGAATGTCACCGAGATCGAGGAGGACGAGGACTACGACGACGAGGAACCCGACGGGGGCGGCGTCGAGGAGCTGGTTCAGCGCGAGCTCGAGGCCCTCGCCATGGAGCTCAACGAGGTGAACGAGGACGACCTTGACCAGGAGCAGCTGGACGCGGTCGAGAAGGCTGCGGTGCAGCTCACGGAGTTGCCGGAGGCCCTGGCGACGGTGCGTAACGCGACGAGCAGCATCAAGAGGAGCGGCGGCTCCTCTGGCTCTGGAGGCGCCGCGGTGGCTCCAAGAGGACGCGGCGGCGGACGCGGCCGCGGTGGAGGCCGGAAGCCCGGCCGCGGAGGCAAGTTCCAGCCGATCAAGGACGCGCTCGACGGCAGGAATAAGAAATCACAGTGTAGGGTCTGCTACCAGTGGGGCCACTGGTCGGGGGGCCCAGGGTGTCCAGGCCCGCCGCAGGAGGTCTCCGCAGTGACGAACGAGACGCAGCTCGACGACGACGAGATCGAGGTCCTTGCGGTGGAGATGTCGGTGCCCCTCGCCGTGCTCCAGACGGTGATCGCCCCGGCTGGCGCCATGTGCAGGAAGGGTGCGGTCGACTCGGCGTGCGCGAGGAGCGTGATGGGCACGCCCTGGTGGGATGACTACTACGGCTACCTGGAGGCCATCGGCCTGGACAAGGAGGTGACCTTCGAGAACGCCACGGATACTTTCAAGTTCGGAGATGGTGGCACGGCGGATTCGGCAACGAGAGTGAGGTTCCCGGTTGCGGCGGCCAAGGTTCCACACTTCATTATGGCCTACCTGTTGGACATCCCAGGCCTCAGCCTACTCCTTGGACGAGATTACCTGGAGTCAGTACACGCCGAGATCAAGACATCACCGCCGAGAAGGATCACCATTGGACCACATCGAGCAGAGCTTTCACAGGACAAGGCCACTGGGCACTACACGTTGGATTTGAACCCAGATGCCTACCATGTGCTGCGCAGCCATTCCAAGACCAAGAGCGAGTTGGACGAACTTCCCCGAAGGCTTCGACCGAGGACGAGTGGTAAGTTGGCTTCAAAGATCACGGCACTCATATGTGGAGCTTCGGCGGTTACCGCGACCGGGGGCCAGACGTGCAACGTAGAGGTGGTGAAGGACTTCGTGAGTATCAACGAGGTTCAGAGTATGAAGAACGTGACCTTTCCCACGAGTGCGGAAGTTCAGGACACGACAGTTGAGACGATTTGTGGAAATGAGTGCTACGTATGTGCGAGACCGACGAGTTTCACTTGTCCTTGTGGGTTGCATTCCTGCTCTGGTCGCGTGCGAGATGGATTTTGTCCTGGCTGCAAGTACGACGTGGACATGGTGGGTTTCGTGGACGGCGATTTCTCCAACAGCGTTCAGAATGGCACTTGGAAGTTTATGAAGCGTGGCCAGCACAAACAGAATCTTTCGGGGATCACTAAGGCGAAGACGCTGCACGATCATAACGTGATCCCGAAACGCGTGAGGAAGTTGATCCAGCTCGAGCAAGCAGATGAAGTTCATGGACAGGCAGTTGCAGCTATACGACGGGGACGCCCATGGAACTACAGCCTGTTCGAGTTGGCATGCGAGCCCAATAGCAAGCTGGGGAACGAGTTCAACAAGGCCGGGCGGACAGATAAGGCTTTCAGAGTTCATCTACCCAAATGCGACCTACGCAAGAAGGGTACTGTCGAAGGGTTGTTGGTGAAGATCAAGCGCGAGAAGAAGAATGGCAACCTACCGGTTATTTGGATCAGTATCCCCTGTACTCCGTGGTGTACATACCAGCGACTTTGGAATTCAAGGACGTTGGCACAGCGAGCTCGACTGAAGTTAAAACGTCAGGAGAACAGAAAGATACTTCGTAATGTACTTTGGCTTCTTCGAGAATTACGCCCACTTTCGATCCCTACAGGCTTCGAGCTACCCTTCCAGAGCGACATTTGGAATGAGAAGTTCAAGCCGAAGGAGTTGAGCCAGATCGAGGAGATCCTCAACTTGCAGACGAAGTTCGACGGGTGCCAGTACGGGGCCAAGACCAGGAAGGGCGAGCCTATTCGTAAGAGGTTCAAGGTACTGACGAACCACCAGCCGGTGGTCAACAAGCTCTACAAGAAATGCGACGGGAAGCACGTGCACGCGAAGGTGTTCGGCGGCAAGGAGCTCATGGAGACCGGGAGGTATACGCTGGCGCTGGTGAAGGACATCGCCGCTGGACTACGAGCTCCCCGCAAGGGACACGATGTGCTGCCCGTGGCCCACGACAAGGAGATCACAGCTCGCGCCAAGGAGGTCCTCGACAAGATGGACCCGCAGGAGCGCGTGCAGTTGGAGCGTGTGGTCAAGCTGATGCACACCAACACCGGCCACCCGACCAACGCCAGCCTGGCCAGGGCCATCCGCCTGCAAGGTGGATCAGCCGAGGCGATCGCGGCTGCCGAGGCTCTTCAGTGCCCGGACTGTGCGAGGCGGAGGCCGCCCGACATCTCGACGCCGGCCGATTTGAGGTCAAGTTTCGCGAGTTCGGCGACGGGGTGGCCACCGACCTGATGATGTTAGCCGACGTCAAAGGCCACCAGGCCCAGCTGCAGAACAACGTCGACATGGCCACGCACTTCCAGCTGGTGGCACCGCAGACCGACAAGAAGCCGATCACTTCGTGGACGACGCTACTCACGAGGTGGATGGGCTGGGCTGGCCCTCCTCAGGCCAGCATCGCCGACCTCGGCGGCGAGTTCGAGAGGGAGTTCCGCGGCGAGCTCGAGGGCATGGGCTGCGAGCTGATCGCCGCGGCGGCGCTGAGCCCCACGCAGAACAGCGTCTGCGAGAGGCACGGCGGCGAGTGGAAGTACATCGCCAAGGCCATCATCGACGAGTACCAGATCGATTTCACGGTCCCAGGCGTGCTGGAGTGGCTTTGCACCGTGGTCAACTGGGCCAAGAACAGCAAGATTGGCCCCTCAGGATTCAGCCCGGCGCAGTGGGTGCTTGGCCGCGGCTACAGGCTGCCCTACGGCATCCTGTCTAACCACGCGAGGTTGTCCCTCCACCAGCGGGCCAGGGACGACCAGACGTTCCAGCAGCGCATCGGCATGCTGGCGGCGGCACAGCGTGCAGCCCAGGCGGTCGAGTACGATCGTCGGCTCTCGGAGGCCTTCCTGGCCAAGAGCCGAGGGAAGTCAGCGAGGCCATCGAGCCTCAATTTCAGCATCGGCGACCAGGTCTTCTACTGGCGTGGTCTCAACAAGGCCAAGAAAATGTGGAATTTCAAGTGGCACGGTCCTGGAGTTGTTATCGGCTACGAGGGCAACAACGTGTGGGTTTCGCACCGCAACGCCACCCTCAAGCGTTCGCCGAAGCACCTCCGACCGGCCATGCCCGAGGAGCGCGTGCCCTGGAACGAGATCTTCGACGCTCTGGCCCACGACCTGGAGCCCGAGTTTGAGGAGGACACGCCGTATATGGAGGCACCGCCTGGTACGGATACCGACTACTACGACATGACCGTCGACGAGGAGGAGCTTCCCGGACCGACCAACGCACATCCAACCTCGGGAAGACGCTCTACGGGGAAAAGTCGCGGTCGGTTCGGCTACCGACCTGAGGGCTCGGCCGAGGAGGAGACCCCAGGACCCCCCCCCTGATTTTGATGCCGCTGCGGGTCCTGAAGAATCAGCCGAGCCAAATGCCAAGCGAGTTCGATTTCATAATGACCAAGATCAAGAGCCGGCAATGCCACAAGTACCCCAACAGGAAGCGGCACCACCCCATCAAGAAGCCGACCCAGAGCCGGAGACGCCCTACTTCGACCAGGAGTCGTTCATGGACGCGCACAATCAGCAGGTCCCTGAGGACGAGATGGATGAGGAGACGCCCTACATGGAGCCGCCAGGAGCCGACATCGAGGAGGAGACGCCCTACATGGAGGAGCAGCAGGCCTCGGAGCAGGAGCCACAGACCGCGGAGGAGACGCCGTACCAGGCACCGGCCGCGGAGGAGCACCGACCTGCACCACCTGGGCACGCTGTGCGACGGACAAGGTACAACCCGCTCGACGACCTGCCCGTCAGCATCCGCAGGAACCTCGAGTCTAGGAGGATGGCGGCACAGTACGACCCACTTGACGATGTACCGAGGGTGATTCGGCAGGAGCTTCGACAGCAGCAGGACGCCAAGAAGCACAGGGTCAACGAGCACATGATTATGGAGCTCTCACTCAAGGAGGCGTCCGATTTAGATTTCTCGACTCCATGCCCGACCAGGTTTAAGCGCGTCGATCTTGTGGGCAACTCGAGGAGCAAGGAGCTGACGTTCAAGAATCTCACGGGCGCCAACCAGGTCAAGATGCGTAAGGCTATGGCGTCAGAATGGGACAAGTGGCCGGCATTTCATGCAGTACGATTTTTTCTTCCAAAGAGGAGCTGGACGAGCTCATGCGCGAGAGGCCGAAGCTCAAGATCGTTGGTACCCGCTGGGTGCTGACCGAGAAGGACGTCGACAACTTCAAGGCGAGGCTCGTTGTTCAAGGTTGCCAAGAGAACGACCTCGGCATCCGTGCAGACGCCCCGACTGGCAGTCGGGACGCCTTCTGGCTTACGGCCGGGTTCGCTGCCCAGCCGGGCTGGGACGGGGCTTTCTTCGACGCGAAGAGTGCCTACCTGCAGGCCGAGGGGATCGATCGCGTGTTGATGATCAAGATGCCGCTGGAGAATCCCCCTCCAGGCACCAAGCCAGGCCAGGTTTTCTTTGCGACGGGCAGTATTTATGGCACCAAGGATGCTGGCAGGGCCTGGTATTTGTATCTGAAGTCTGTGCTTAAGGAGTTCCAGATACACGAGAGCAAGCTGGAAAGAGGTTGGTATTACCTGGCACACAAAGGCGAGATCGTCATGGTTATTCACTCGCACGTGGACGACATGTTTTTCGCCTGGAAGCGCTCGAACGTCTACGTCCAGGAGATCATTCCGAAGCTCGAGAAGCGCTTGTACCTTGCCAAGAAGACTGGAGATGTTGACTACCTGGGCACTCGAGTTCAGATGACGCGCGATTTCATCAACGTGACTCAGGAGAAGGCTATCAAGGCGATCGACACGATACCTATCCAGCCGAGCCGTCTGAAGACCCCGGACGCGGAGGCGACGCCGGAGGAGATCAGCAGTTTCAGGGCGACCAACGGCCAGGCGCAGTGGGTTGCCACGCGCTCGAGACCGGACGCGGCCTGCAAGCAGAACATGGCCGCCCAGAAGATCAGCAAGCTCAAGGTTAAGGACCTCATCGACATGAACAAGTTGGTCAAGGAGCTGAAGGAGAACTCCACGCTGGGCATTAGGGTCGTCAGGAATCGGGTCAGGGTCTTGCACGCGCAGCTGCTCTTCTACGGGGACTCCGCATTTGCGCATGCCGAGGGCGAACGCTCGCAGTGCGGATTGGTTGGAGGTCTCACCCACAAGCCCGAGGAGGTAGCCATTGGGAAGTTCAGCGAGATGATACCTCTCACTTGGTGTTCAGGACGGGTGAAGCGAGTTGTTCGGAGTACGCTCAGTGCCGAGGCCTACGCCATCAGCGAGGCTTCCGAGTACGCCGACTGGTATCGCCAAGTGCTCACCGAGCTGCGCCTTGCCTCGACTCTCAACGGACCGCCGAAGCTGAAGGATGTGGAGCGCGAGTCGGTGAAGATCCCGATGACGACGCTCACGGACAGCAAGAACTTGGAGGAGACCGTGGAGAAGGACGCCGGAGTTGTCGCCGACAAGAGGCTACGTATTGTTGTGAGCATGCTTCGAGAGAGTTCTGGATTGCCTCATTCGGTTTTGCGGTGGATCCCCACGCATACGATGGTGGCCGATGCTCTCACGAAAATCATGGAGGCTGGTATCCTCATGAGTTTCATGAGCGGCCGTGATTACAAGTTTACTGCGCCGACGCCGAGGGCCAAGAAACTCATCCAGATGCTCACGATGGTCTCTCTTTCAAAGGGCGCCGCTGGATACGAGCATGTACCGAAGTACGAGGTCAGTTGCACAGAGTTCGCTGTGGACACTTTTGAGTATTCTGAGCAGTGGATATTTTCTTGGATGATGTGGTTTCGAGGTGCTGTGTGTGGATTTGGTTTTACTTTGGCTATATTTCTTATCATTTTGATTTTCATGAGGTTCAAGGGTGTGTTGACGATCGCCCGGGACGAGGAGATTCTCGTGCCAGTCGATACCGAGATTGTATCAGTGAAGCCGAAGACCGGACCCAAGGGCATGAAGGTGAGAGATGTGATGACCATGTCGCAGACGACTTATGTCAGGAGCCACAGGCATGTGGCGGTGAACAATTATGAGGGAGATGTATTCACTGGGACAACCTACACACGGAAGTGACAGTATCGAGGACTACGGGCCCTCCTTTCGAGCTCCCAGCTGAGCCCAAGGAGGTACTTCGCACTACGGGCCCTCTTTCGAGCTCCCTGCTGAGCCCAAGGGGGCACTCTTCGTGAGGCTCGACCTGGGTTGAGGTCCGAGCCGGTGACACTGCCGCGGCCATCTGGGCCTGCGGGACTTGTCCGCCACTGGGGCGGAGTGCAAAGACGATTTCCCCCTCCATCCTCGATCCCTTTCTCTTGAATTCACGATCGTTTTATGCTAGGAGGTTGTTTCACGTAAGAGTTGTTTCACGAAAGCTATTTGAGCAAGCCAGCAAAACCTGTTTGGAGCCCCGCGCCGATATATGACAGAGGCACGTTTAGACCGTCAGCGACGGACCGATTCCTTTTAGATTTAAACGGCGTTTAGATCAGCAGAAATGTACAGCGTACATTTGGAGGAGTGTGCGTGATCCAATGTGTAGCAGCAGCATTGTGCATGATATGCGCTCTGTAATGTTTCGGCTTAGGCGCTTTGACCAGTTTTAGCTACATATCAAAAGCATCGAGCGATATCAGCGATATCCGCCACGTCAGAGTGATCGCCTTCTCCTGTTGCCAGCAGGTGTTTGTATCGACTTCATCTGCACAATTCTGTTGTTTCTCATAGATCACCCAAGGAAGGACTACCCTATGACTACCCCTAGGGCCTACCCCTAGGGCTACCCTAGGGGTACCCTAGGGCCTACCCCTAGGGCTACCCTAGGGCTACCCCTAGGGCCTACCCCTAGGGCTACCCTAGGCCACCCCTAGGGCCTACCCCTAGGGCTACCCTAGGCATATCCTTAGGGTTTACCCCTAAGGTTACCCTAGGCCACCCCTAGGGCCTACCCCTAGGGCCTACCCCTAGGGCGACCCCTAGGCTAACCCCTAGGGCCTACCCCTAGGGCTACTGTAGGCCTACCTCTAGGGCTTACCCCCAGGGCCTACCCCTAGGGCTACACCTAGGGTTGCCTTAGGGCTACCCCTAGGGCCTACCGCTGGGGCTACCTCATGCCCGCCACTAGGGCCTACCCCTAGGGCTACCCTAGGCTAACCCCTAGGGCCTACCCCTAGGGCGACTCTAGGCCTACCCCTAGGGCCTACCCCTAGGGCCTACCCCTAGGGCTACCCTAGCGCTATCCCTGGGGCTTACCCCTAGGGCTACCCTAGGCCATCCCCTGGGGCCTACCCCTAGGGCCGCCTTTGCCGGGGGAGAAACACGAGGATGACGGGGAGGCGAGACGAGGAGGAGGAGGAGGAGGAGGAGGAGGAGGAGGAGGAGGAGGAGGAGGAGGAGGAGGAGGAGGAGGAGGAGGGAGAGGGAGAGGGAGGAGGAGGAGGAGGAGGAGGAGGAGGAGGAGGAGGAGCAGGAGGAGGAGGAGGATGAGGAGGACGAGGAGGAGGAGAAACGGAGAGAGGAGGAGAAGGAGGAGGAGGAGGAGGAGGAGGAGGAGGAGGAGGAGGGGGAGGACGTGGAGGAGGAGGAGGAGGACGAGGAGGAGGAGGAGGAGGAGGAGGTGGCAGCCCCGCCTGCGCCGCCCTGGCGCCAGACGGCGCCCCCGTCGACCGTCGATCGGCTGGGCTTTGCGTCGTCGTCGTCGTCGTCGTCGTCGTCGTCGTCGTCGCCGTCGCCGTTGCCGTCGTCGACGCCGCCGCCGCCGCCGCCGTCGTCGTCGTCGTCGTCGTCGTGGTTGTCGGTCGGTCGATCGATCAGACAGCCGCTCGGCCGGCGGGTTGGTCGGACGGTCGGTCGTGGTCGTCGTCGTCGATTCCGTGGTGATCGTCGTCGCCGCTGGCCGTCGATGTTTGGCGTCGCCGTCGCCGTCGGCCGTCGTCCTCCTGGCCCCTCGTCTTCCGAGTCTCCGAGAGGGGGGAGGGAACCCCCAAGGGGGGGTCTGTGAGGGGGGTCTGCTGGGGGGGTCCCAGAGGGGGGGGTCAGAGGGGGGGGTCTGTGAGGGGGGGGTCTGTGAGGGGGGGGTCTGCGAGGGGGGGGTCTGCGAGGGGGGTCTGCGGGGGCGTCTGTGAGGGGGGGGGGGGGGCGGCTTGTGCGGGGGAGGGGGTGAGGGGGGGGGCTCTGTGAGGGGTGGGGGCCCCGCGCCGTCGCCGCCGTCGTCGTCGTCGCCGGTCCGAAGGATTCTTGGTTTTGTTTTTCCCGTTTACGCCCCCCCCGCACGGGCCCGGCTCGGCCCCTCGGGCCCGGCTCGGCCCCTCGGGCCAGGTGCAGGGGTGAGGACCCGCTGGTCTGACCTTCTCAACCCGCGGCCCCTGACGGCCGGACCCCACAGCGGCCCCGGAGGGTCGGCGGACTGCCGGTGGGGTAGTTCCCGTGGGAACCCGGGTACCCTGCAGGCGGCCCCCTGCCCTCGCGCGGGGGGGGCGCCGAAGGGGCCCGCCCTCCTGTGGTCCGCAGCGGTCCCTTTTCGTCCCAGTGTCTCTCGCCCGCCCGCCCGACCAAAGGAATAAGTTTGTAAATCGCTGCCAAAGGGAATCCATGTGTAATTCACCGTGCAAGCAATCATTGCCTTTCATGTCCCGCCCGCCCGCCCGACAAAATGTGTAAATTGCCACAATATGAATCAGTTTGCCATCCGCCACGCAAGCAATCAATGCCTTTAATGTCCCGCCCGCCCGCCCGACAAAAATAATCAGTTGATAAGCTACCACAAAGAGAATCTACTCGTAATCCGCTACGAACGGGAAGCAATTGGTAATCCACCACACAAGCAGTCAATGCCCTTAATGTCCCGCCCGCACGCCCGACAAAAGGAATCAATGTGTAATCCGCTACCAAAGGGAATCAATATGTAGTCCGCCACCAAAGCAATCAATGCATTTAATGTCCCGCCCGCCTGCACGACCAAAGGAATCAGTTTGTAATTCGCCAGAAAATGCTACCCCTAGGGTCTACACCTAGGGCTACCCTAGGGCTACCCTAGGGCTCCCCCTAGGGCCTACCCCTAGGGCTACCCTAGGGCTGCCCTACGGCCTACCCCTAGGGCTACCCTAGGGCTACCCTTAGGGCCTACCCCTGGGGCTACCCAAGGGCTACCCCTAGGGCCTACCCCTAGGGCTACCCTACGGCCTACCCTACGGCCTACCCCTAGGGCTACCCTAGGCCCACCCCTAGGGCCTATCCCTGGGGTTACCCTAGGGCTACCCCTAGGACCTACCCCTAGAGCTACCCTAGGGCTACCCCTACGGCCTACCCCTAGGGCTGCCCTCGGGCTACCCCTAGGGCCTACGGGCTGCCCCTAGGGCCTACCCCTAGGGCTACCCTAGGGCCACCCTACGGCCTACCCCTAGGGCTACCCCAGGGCTACCCCAAGGCCTACCCCTAGAGCTACCCTAGGGCTACCCCTAGGGCCTGCCCCTAGGGCTACCCTAGGGCTACCCCTAGGGCCTACCCCTAAGGCTACCCTAGGGCTACCCTTAGGGCCTACCCCTGGGGCTACCCAAGGGCTACCCTAGGGTGTCCAGTAAGGCCTACCCTCGGGAAGCCTAGGGCCTTCAGTACAGCCTACCCTTGGGAAGCCTGGGGATTTCGGTAGGGCCTACCCTTGGGAAGCCTAGGGCCTTCAGTAGGGCCTACCTTTGGGAAGCCTAGGGTCGGTAGAAGGGCCTAGGGTAGCCAAGGCCACCAGTGATCTATACCGTCGTTTCAGTTAATATGTCCTTCCGGGGGGCGCGCGAAGAGCCGCGCGAACTTACCGCCGCGCTGGTCAGAGCCATCGCGAGAGAGAAGAACATGAATTCTGGCGCGACTCAGCGGGGCTTGGAGGCCAGGGGCACGATTGAGTTAGAGTCGCCAGTCAAGCAGGAGACAGACGTCGCGTTGAAGGCCACGACCACGCTCTGCGCGGCCAGAAGTACAGGACACTGAGGCGCTCCGGACGAGATGGGGACCGACCCCATCATCGAGCAGGTTGTCCGGCAGATGCACGGGGGCATAGGGTACTGCGTCAGCGAGAACCTCGCGGTGGCGCTGACGCACGGCAAGGCAAGACTCGAGGAGTAGTTGGAGCGCCGCAGTGCGCGACAAACAACTTCAGTTGGCACGATTTTCCCAATCCATCGACGACATGCCATTTGAACGACGTCATCGGGGCGGACATTTCATTCGCGCTCGGCCCCGGGAACGCGACCAAGCTCCCCGCGCTCAGCGCAGTTCGCCGCAGAATCTCACATCAGGTCGCGGCGCCTCTGCCGAGTCGCCAAGGGCAGCGGATCAGGAGGCACTGGTGCGCGTTCTGGATGCGAGTGCGCGGCGCCCCCGGGGCCGAGATCTTGGTCGGAAGGAAGCGTTTCGCAGTTAGAGGGTTCCCCGGCGCTGCGGGCGTTGAGGGGGCCGAGGCGAAGTGCGCCAGTTCCACTTCTCCCTGGCAGGCAGGTGAGACAGGGCGAGCAGGGGCGCCTGGCAGGAAACTCTCTACCGCGCGAGACAGAGGTTCAACGCCCGACTCCTGGGGCGATTTCTACGAGCCCACGCGCGCCGCCAACGCGTTTGCCGGCGCGAGCGCTAAACGTGGAGGATCCACGCCTAACCAGCGAGCGCTTTGACGTTCGTTCAGGCTGCCCGAGAATATCCTGGAGGAAGGGCCACCGAGCTTGCCGACGGCGTCGCGAACCATGAATGGGGGCGCCGAGGTGGCGAGGAGCATCGACGCGCGCAAGGCCGCTATGGCGGCATGCATTGGGGCAGAGTGTTCAGAGAAGTGCAGACGAGTGCGCGCTCGCCGGACGGGCGCGCCCTTGGGGCCCTGGGACTTCCCGCAAGCCAGGGGGGGCGCTGCTATTTCTGGCGAGGCGGGCGGACAAACTGCTGGCCAACTCTTGCCAGGGCTATTCTGACGGAGCCGCCGAGCGCAGCGTAGCGCCCCGACCAGGGATGGCTGCTGAAGTGCCCCCATGAGCAGCTGCGTCGCGCGAAGCTGAGGAAGAGGAGGAGGAGGAGGAGGAGGAGGAGGAGGAGGAAGAGGAGGAGGAGGGGGAGGCCGCATCATGCCCCGGTGGTGGATGCGACCACGCAGGAGTCGGCCAACGCTGACAATCGCAGTCAAGGGCGGAGGCAGCGCGAGGACCTTAACTACCAAGCATAACGGTCCACCTGAGGAGGAGGCCGAGCGCATTTCAAGGGCAGCTCCTCCGGAACGTGCAGGAGATGAGCTTCCTCCGAAAGGCCTCGAGCAGCCTGCCAAGGACATTTAGAAGGAGAGCGAGATCGAACCAGACCCGATTCCCGTGGAGACGTAGACATACGATCGCTTGAAAGATGCGCCGATCGAGAGCGTTATCCGTTCGGAGATTGGTGCTGCCGAAGCGGGGGGCGCACGGGCAAACTATTCGCCCGCAGCGTGGACAAAGCGGACATCATCGCGTCTCAGGAGAAGATGCCAGCAGGAGTAGATGATCAACATCGCCACCGAGAGGTGCCGTGGGCCACGATCGCAAGTTACACCAGCAGAGATCCACTGGGCTCGGAGGCACGCGGCTTCCTTCTTGGCGCGCGAGAGCCGCCCTGACTTATCCGCGGCAGTCTCGCTTCTCCAAAGACAGATGACCAACCTGGGGGTGGGCGACCTGCCGGGGGCGAGCCGCATCGACATAATCACGAAGGACAATTGCGACGTGAAGCCTAGGATCCGTCACGCCCCATTTCACGAGATGGCGCTCGTGACTTCCAATGATGTTGCATGCGCCAATGCCCGCGATGGAGCACGGCTCGGCACCTCGCATCCACGACGAGCCGGGAGGTCTTGAAAGGAGGGGCGGCCCCAGTATTCAGCCAGCCCTCAAAGAGCCACGTGCTCAAGGGGAAGTGCGCCCGCCAGCTCGGCGCCGAGTTCCTGTCTGTCTCCGAGTGCCTCGCCGTGGCAGGGTCTACCCGCGCCATGTTGTCGGAGATCGCGGGCTCCGACTTTGTCCTGGTGCGACAATCTATGTTCGCTTGTCGCACCCCCGGCGCGCGTCGCAGACTCCTGGAAGGGGGTTGCGACCGCGTCGCCAATCCCAGGGCGGGCCTGGCAGACGACAAACGAATAGTTATCGACGTGGCCATCGTGCGCGCAGGCGCGCAGCGGCCTGGTACGCACCTTGGGTGGATCGAGGGGGCAGCCAGCTAACGACCCTCCCGTCAAACGCAAATGTGAGAGTCTCCTACTGCGGCACGGTTTGCAGAACGTCGAGTACGGCATTATTGCAGGGAGCGTGGTTGGAAGATGACAGAACGAGGCGGAAAGCTGGGACGACCGACGCCTGCGCGGTGAGGAGCTGCTGCTTCGTGGGCCTGGACCCTTTCGAGCTGGACTGCACAGGCGGACATCATCCAGGCAACGACAATGACGGTCAGAACTATGAGCCCGACGCGTGTCGTTGGACTCGCGAGGTTCAGAAGAACGGAAGGATACCCCTGACATGTTAGAACGAGGAGTCGAATTGGTTCAGAAACTTTGATTATGACCCGTGTGATGTGCTGAGTCGTGCTATTTTCGCTTGCTTAGATCAGAACAGCTCGTTCCCTCCTATACCCTTTGTGGCTTGGTGGACGGGGGCGGGCGGCCCCTTCCATGGGTTCAGCCAGCGCGTGGGAAAAATGTTCATCTTCAGTTGATCGTTTATGTTTTGGCACCCCTCCGTTTCTGGGAGACTGCCCACACCTCCTTTGTTTCCGTCCTTCCCCTTACCCCCCTTACTTTCTCCCTCCCTCCATCCCTCCCCTTTTCTCCCCCCCCCTCTCTCCCTCATTCCTCCCGCCCCCCCCCCGCTCCCTCGCTGCCTCCCGCTCCTCCTTCCTCCCTGTTCCTTCTCCTCATCGCGGCCCCGCCGTGGCCGATACCTTACTATGCTCCAGATTGCGTCGTGCTCGCTCCTTCGATGCTGGCTTTTTGAAACAAGGCCTTGAAGCTGGCGTCGCTGCTCGACGTGGAGCTGCTGCGGCAGATCTTCTCTGGGCCCCTGAGGCGCCATCCCCCGAGGAGGAAAACTGAGAACAGAGAAATTCGGATGACGGAGGGCGGACGACGGGACGGAAATGGGGATGGCGGTGGACGCCGCTTGCTCCGGGGGCGGAAAGCGGAGGGGAGCGAAGGAAAGAGGACGGATTTCGGGAATGCGATGGGCGCCGTTTGTTCCTTCCTCGCCCCGGCGGCGTGCCGCGGGCGAGCGGCAGTGGCGCGCTTGCGGACCTTGTCCGGCGCGTGCAACAGCATCGGGAGGACGGAGGAGGAGGCGGAGGAGGAGGAGGAGGAGGTGGAGGAAGAGGAGGAGGAAAGGGAAGAGGAGGAGGAGGAGGAGGAGGAGGAGGAGGAGGAGGAGGAGGAGGAACCCGTAGCCATTTTGGCTCAAGCCCCACGTCCCCCCTCGGGGATCTCGTGGGGCTTGGGCATCCGTACCCATTTGCTCGAAGTGCTTGCGCGCCCTCGGCCGCGCGCACCGCGCACGTGGGATGGGGCTCGGTGTGCGCGAGGCCGCCGTCCTCGTCGAGGCGGCGGTCCGCGCGGCTGCCCTCGCCAAGGCGTCGCCGCGCTCCCTGGCCGCCGTCGCCCGTGCGGCCGTGGCGGCCGCTGCGCTGGGCGCGGTGCCTGGTGATGCTGGTGGCGCTGGTCGTGATTGTGGGCGTGGTGACGGGCCTCCTGGCGGTGGCGAGGTGCCCGCGCCCGCGGCTCGTGCCGAGCGGCGCAGGCGCCGCCGCCGTCGCCGTGCCGCGCGGTGCGCGGCTGGCGACGTGCTTGCGGCCCCTGCTGCTGCGGCCGCGGCCGAGCCCCTGGGCTGAACGACGCCTGGGCTGACGTTCTCCCTCCTCGGGTTTCGCGTCGGCTCGGCAGCCCAGCGGCGATCGCGGCCGCGGAGCCAGCTGGTGCGGCCGCTGCGGCGGCGCCGACGGCTGGCGGAGCGACCCCCTCGGCGGATGTTGCTGCTGCTGCTGGTGCGGCGGCGGCGGGTGGTGACGCGGCGCCCATGGGGTCGGCCTTGGCGCTGCTGGTGGCGCCACCCGCGGCTGCCGCTGCCGCCGACAGCGTGGAGCCCGTGCTGGGCGAGTCGGCGGTGCGGGCCGCGCTCATCTCGGCGTGGGTCCGCACGCCTGGGGCGCGCGTGGCTGACTTTCAGCCGCACTGCGCCACCCGGCCGCTCCACCGACTCCGAGCCTGGCTCGTGGAGGCGGTGGACGCGGCCCCCGGCACCGGCGCAGGGCGGGGGAGGCAGCGGAAGGGTCGGCGATGATGCGCCCTCCTGTGGAGGGAGGGCGCCGCCTGCCCCTCCCCCCCCGCTTCGCACATCGCGGACCTCGTCGGCGTGTCGGCGTGGGGGTCGACTGGTTCGTTTGAGGCCCGTTGGACGGGCCTGAGTGGCATGTGGCGCGTCGGATTCACGACTCGCTTCGGAGAGGTCGCAGGAGGAGGAGGAGGAGGAGGAGGAGGAGGAGGAGGAGGAGGAGGAGGAGGAGGCAGGGGGAAAATGCCGCATGCGGGATCCACCCCCCGCGCTCGCCCTCTGGCGCCGCGCCCAGCCGCGCGCGCCTCCAGAGAGGGCTGGCCTCAGCCCGCCGGCCGCCGGTCATGGACCGCAGGTGGCCGCGCAGGGTGTGTAGAGGGACCCGGCCCAGGGCGGCTCGAGGACGAGGAGGAGGAGAAGGAGTTTTGCGAAAAGGATGAGGACGAGGAACACGAGGAGGAGTACGAGGATTACAAGGAGGAGCATGGCTTGCAGTAGGAGGAGGAAGAGGGGGTGAACGAAAAGGAGGAATGCGATGAGGAGGAACACGGAATGCAGCCAACCTTTTCCGAACAACCAGCCAGTTTAGTTGATGTCCCGCCCACCCGCCCGATTGAACTTCCCGCCCGTGTCCGTCGTCGATGTCGCCAGGGGTGTCGGGCTGGTTCGCCAGGTGCTTGGGATGCTTGGGAGCGGAGGGGAGGGGTGGTTTTCGACATGTCGAGGAATGTTTTGCACCCGACCGCCCATGGAATGCGCCCTGTCCTATTGGTCTTCCTCTCCGTGTGCCCTCCTTTTCCTCTTTAGGCGCTCCCCTCCCTGCTGCGCAACACCTCGCCCTCTCGATATTCCTCCCCACTTTCACACACACACACACACACGCATCTCTCTCTCTCTCTCTCTTTCTTCAGTCTCGGCTCGAGAACCCCTGAGTACAGAGCGAGCCCAGACACTAAGTCCCCCGAGCCATCCAGATTGGCGAGACTGGACCAGTGGCCCCACCACAGGACAGAGTCGTGTCACAGTCTCTTCCCCCCCCGCCCGCGACGCCATGTCCTGCGCCGCCGATCCGCCGAGTCCTAGCAGAACGGTGACCAGTACGAGGCCAACTACATCTGCTGCTGGGCGGTCTTGACTCCGAAGGGCGGCTGCCACCGTAATGCCGCAACGCGCCCTACACTACATCGAGCACCGCACTACCCGCAGCAGCCAGTCGTTCACACCTTTCTAATCGGGCGACCACACGATTCGCGTGCCAGTCCACGTACCACCCCGTGATCCTCACTTTCGGGAAGATCTCGAGGCTCATTTTCCTGATCTGCGCGGTGACTGTGAAGTTAAGTTCGTGACGCCCCCAATGATCTACGGGCCGCATTGCCACGCCCCTTACCCGCGGCGGGGGGGGCATCAAGCCGCAACTTACGCCATTGGCACGACCCCTAGTGGCCGCCAGGCCAAACCTGCAGTCAGTATGTCCTACCACCGTTGTTCATTGCGACCCTCCCGCCGAGCGTCCACAAACACATGGCATCAGCCACCAGGACCACCAGGCCATACCGCCACCATCCCTGTCGTTGACCATCTAGACGCTCCCGCCGAGCATTTGCCGACCGACTTCGGTGTCGGGCCGAGTGGCCACCAGAACAAAGCTGCAACTAGCCCCCACGTTGCTGCCCATGCCGTCATCCATTGCGAGTCTCCTCCTGAGCGCCCGCCGAATCCCATGGGCACCAGACCCTCCTGCGGAGGGTCCGCCGACCGCCACTGGAGCCGCTCAGTGTGACCACCAGGCCAAAACTCCAGCCAGCCCCGATGATGTGGTCCAAGGCGTAGTCCGCTGTCACTGAGTCACCCTCCTGAGCTTCCGCCGTCACTCAGGGGCATCATCCACGGGGGCCACAAGGCCCACGCTGCAGCCAGGCCTTTCGCCGTGGTTCACTGTGACCCTCCCGTCGAGGTTCCGACGACCACCATTGGAGCCGCTCCGTGTGGCCCTAGCCAGTCCCCGTGATGTCGTCCAAGGCGTAGTCTGCTATGACCATCCGTCTGAGCGTCCGTGAACTCTCGGGGGCCTCAGCCACCTGGGCCACAAGGCCCACGCTGCAGCCAGCTCTTCCTCCGCGGTTCATAGGAACCCGCCTTCCGAGGGTCCGCCGCCCGCCACTCGAACCGCTCACTGTGGCCACCAGACCAAAACGGAATCCAGCCCCGACATTGTAGTACACGAGGACCCTGCCTCTAGGAGTCCGCTCACTTCCACTAGTGCTAGCCAAGGCGGCCACCATGCAAACACGGCAGCCAGCCTGTCCGCCGTGGTCCATTGTGACACTCCCGCCGAGGGTCCGCCGACCGCTCTTGGAACCACTCAAGGGGGCCGCCAGGCCAAAACTCCAACCAGGCCCCGTGTCGTCGCCCAGGGCGCAGTTCGTTGTGACCTTCCTCGTGAGCGCCAGTGGCTTCTCAGGGGCATCAGCCACGGGGGGCCACCAGACCCAGGCTGCAGCCAGACTTTCCGCTGTTGTTCACTGTTAACCTCCCGCCGAGGGTCGGTTCGCCGACCGCCGCTGGAGCCGCTCAGTACGGCCACCAGGCCAAACCTCCAGCCAGTCCGTAATGTCGCCCAAGGCGTAGTCCGCTGTCACCCTCTTTCTGAGCGCTCGCCGATTCGCAAGCGCATCAGCCACGGGGGCCACCGGGCCCACGCTGCAGCCACTCCCCCTGGCGTGGGCCCTCGTGACCCCTGCTCTGGGCGTCAGCCGACTACCACGGGGGCTTTTTCGGGCGGGTCACCACACCCACCCTGAAGCGGAAAGGCCTCAGTTTACCCACCGCCCCGTCTGCCAATGATGGAGCAATCGCTTGATCGAGCATCCGCCGACTACCAACAGACCCCCACGACGTCCGACGACCGTCCGCCGACCGTCATACGACAAACCAGGCGACGCTAACTCCATTTACGACCGCACGTCGGCCGTCCGCCGGATGTTCGATCCCCGACGACGACCGTCCGACGACCGCCCGGCGACCACCCGCCGACCGCCAGACTGACCGCCGACGACTAAATGTTGACAGTCCGGCACCTGACGGCGACGATTGGCGTCCGTCCGTTACCCGCTGACCAACATTCGCCCCCATGTGGCACCAGCTGCTATGACGCACCCCGACCAGACCAGACCAGCAGGCAAATCGCAGCCGCCACTGGCTGGCGTTGCCTTTCCAGTCACACATTGGCAGCTGGTTCGCAACCTCTGACCCCCCTCCAAGCGAGCACGCAAGCTGACTGATAGTTTCGCGCCACCACGGTTCCCCAGAAGTGGACCATGCCATCATCCGCATGGTGATCCTCCAGCTGGCCACCTGGGCGCCGCTGCGAGCGTCACCCCCACGGTTCGTGCCGCGCCGCGCCGAAGGTCGCGCCGAGGCACTTGCAGCAGGCACCAGGGTCGCTGTTCGCGTGCACCGAGCGCCGCACGCAGACGGGGACACCGACGGCCCTCCTTGCCATTGCATCCCTCAGCACACCACCGCTCAGCCGCCAGCGAGAACGCCAGCACCATCACCCGCTGTTTCGGGACTACGAGGGCCCACCAGGGCTATCGCATAGGCAGACGGGGCCGATGCATCGGCCGGCGACACTGGCCTCGTTTCTCCATCCGTATTTCCATTTATCCACGAAGATACCTAGGTGTCGGTTGCCAGCCAGGGGCGTAACCCCATCAACGACCACCACGGTACCGTGGTTGGCCGAACGGGGGAGTAAAACCAGCCCGTTTGCACACGTCCAGCTCGATAGTTGTCCCCCCTAGCGGAAAGAAGCCCTTCGACGTCCCGCCGCTGACCGCCTGACCCGCGTCCGACGACCGACTAATTACGCCCGTCCGCCGCTCGTCCGACGGCTGCCCGACGACCGTCTGATGACAGTACGCCGACACCCGCCGCCGACGGCCGCCGAACGAACGTTGACTGACCGACGCATACGCTTAACGACCAGGCAGCCATGTGCCGACGCCACCACACCGTGGTTTCCAGCGACCCAACCGCCGAGCGGCCAACGAGCACCAGTGGCACCTCCTAGCAGGGCCACCAGGCCCACACGACAGCCAGACTACATGCTGTCACGCACGCCATCCCCCTCACCCCGCGCCACGAAGGGGTTGGTTTGCCTCCTCATCCTCCTCTTCCTCCTCTATCCCTTCTCATCATTGATAACTCCCCCGCCTCGCACACCGGACTTGTCTGCAGGGCGGGCCGGGCGTTCCGCCTGAGGTTCCCCCACCATTTATGACATTGAAGCTTAAATATTGGCAACGGTTTCACAGATGGAGGTCGGGTGGTTTTCAAAATGTGGCTCTCGCCCTAGCGCCGCGCACATTTGGTTTATTAAATTTTGGCATGCGCTTTACGGATTGAGGATGGTTCCTTTTCAACATGTGGTTGTCGATTCAGCGCCGCGCACGTTCCGTCTTACAAAGTGCAAAAAGTTCACGGATTCCCATTGTCAACGAATGAGAAATGAAGTTTTGGACAGATTCAGGATTATGAGGGTGCAGCAGTTACGTTGATTCGTGGTGTTGGAGTTCCAGGAATGGCGTTCTGGTGCGATTCAGGACGTCAAGACGCAACAGTCAGCTTCATATGTGGCGTTTGAATACAGATAATGATGCGTTGGCATGCTTCGGGGCCTTCAAACGGTTGTCTTCCAACGAGACAGTTCCTTCAGTGGAAATGAATTCTATTGGGGCCTATGAAGAGGGAGCTCGGAGGAAGGCTTTATTCCAAAACCGTTGATGACTCTTAGGTTTACGCTGGTCCTCCCCCTCCTGCGCGCCACGCTTGGGACCCTACTTCGTAGGCTCGCCTGGCTGGCCACCGCTACCCGCGAGCCAGCCACTCTCCTCCACGTGATGCTCCACGTTGCAGCACGCTGCCGCAATGGCAACGACGAGGCCAGTAACCCGCCGCGGGCCTCGCTCCCGCCCCCCCAGCGTCCCTCAGAGTGGCACGCCACCAGGCGCAGCCGCATTGCGCAAGCCAGACCACCGGCTTCCGTCTGGGACGTGAGGGGAGGTGGGAGACGGAGGAAGCGGAAGCGGCGGCCACAGGGACGTACCCGGCGCCCCTGGATTTGAGCATGCCGTCCCGCCAGCGACGGCGGCTTCGCCGCACGCCAGGCCAGAGGCCCGTTACGGCCCCCCACGGCCCCCGACAGTCTCCGTTCTTACTGGGCCGTCGCGCCACCTCACTTGGGGTGCTTGCCGCCTACATGATTCACCCCACTTCGGTCACCGACCTCCGACCCGCCTTCGGACCCCAGGGGCTGGGGAAGAAGGCCCCTCCCTGGCTCGACACGTCGACAGCGGACCAGTGCCCCAGGCTCCGAGCGCGGGTACTGCGATCCCTGCCACTGCCTTGACGACACATTTCTGGCGCCATCCGCGTCGCTACGGGCGCGATGGTCAGGCACGCCTTCTTCCGACGCCTCGCCACGGAAACGGACGACGCTTACGACCGACGCCTGTCCTGGCTGGATGTCTCCAACCAGCGCTGGGGACCGACGTAACCCGACGTCGACGTTTTCGTCCGTACATGCACTCCGACGCCGTCCGTCGATTGACCGACGGCTGCGCTTCCACCCAGGGGCGTCAGCCCCAAACTCGTGCTGCCCCTCAGCGCCGCTGCTTCCTCCGTCTGCATCTTCGGGCGTGTGCCACCAGGGCAGTTCGGGACCTGCTACACGGTCTTTGGCAAGCATCGTCGTGTGTGGGCCCCTGGCTGCGTCCAGGAGCCCGGCTTCCTTTGCACTGAGGCTCTCACTCCTTTTCTCACGCCGGCCCTGCTGGGCCAGCGTCTCGTGTGAATCGCGTGGCGAGCCGCTCCACGGCCCATGCCTGGGCCGCCGAGAGGGATGCCCCAACTCGGCGCCTTCGTTTCCCAGGGCTCCGAGGCGTGCACGCCAAAACGAGCTAAAAGTGGGTGCCTCCCTGCAGCACGGGCGCGCAGAGGCGGTGTGTCCCATCCCTGTTTGTCAAGCGGTGCCTCCCGCCAGTGTGAGGATGGCCCAGTCGGCGCCCGTACCCAGCGAGCCTGGACAGACGTTTGTCCGAATCGGTGCGTTCTCTCTCTCTCTCTCTTTCTCTCTTTCCCTCTCTCGTTCCCTCTCCCTCTCTCTGTCTCTATGCTTTTATCTCTCCCTCTGTCTCTGCTTCTCTCCTCTCGGGCCGGGCGAAAGGGGGGGTGACGAAATCTGCTGCATGCAGCTGGCTTCCGCCCCGCCGCCGGGCTCATGCCTCGATGCATGGTCGCCTCCCGGCCCCAGGAGGCGCCAGGGAAACCAGTTACCTGACACTGACTCTCTACCCTGCCTTTGGCTATCCTACTCTTTCGTCTACCCCGATCCTCCCCGCTGTCTCTCGCCCTGCCCCCTTGCCCCCCTGCCTGCCCTCTGCCGGCCAACGGGCGGCGCCCGAAGAGGCTGAGGCTTCTGGCGGCGGGCGCCGCGAGGTCGAGCGGAGCCGGGACGCCCCTGGCCTCGCAGCAGCGCAGAGGAGACCAACCCTCTCCTCCAGGGGGAGCACACACAGCACCAGCCCAACGAGGAGGAGGAGGAGGAGGAGGAGGAGGAGGAGGAGGAGGAGGGAGAAGATGACACATTTTTTTCATCGCGGCGCGGCAAAGGCAGTCCGCTCGCGCGCTCCAGTAGCTGGGGCGGAGCGTAATTATTAGTCGTCTGGCAACACGAGGGGGGGGGGGGGGGGGCATGGCAGACGGCGGCCGCGGAGGAAGGGCGAAACGAAAGGGGGAGGGCATTCACAGCACGATGATCTTGGGTTGTAAAAGCCGATCAATGAAGAGGAAGCATGCTGCGAAATTATTTCCAGATGTAAGAAGATGTTTCAAACATGTGTTAACCATGTAAAAGACATGCTTGTAACATGTTTAGAACATGTTTCCGACATGTTACACACATGTTGGAATTCAATGATAGGACTGTTGGAGTGTCCATTGCCATGGCATCCACACATCTCGGGCAGGAGTGGCCAGTGCGGCCGGCCGTTGCTGAGGCGTCCTGGCAGTGGACGTGGAGCGGCGTCGCGCCCACACCCAGACGACGGCTTGAACATGCAGTGTCGAAGGTCCGCGCGGATTTCCTGGATATGCACTGGGTTCTTTCCCTGGTGTGCGGAGCGCGTCAGGGGCGGCGGTGGAGGCGCCGTCCGGGGGGGGGGCAGCGCAGATCTCCGAAATCCGCGTGGACCTCTCCCCTCGGAGGAACGAAAAGCGACACCACCACCAAGGTTGCAACCTCCAGCGCGGGGGTCCACGATGCCACGATGCCTGCCCGAGTTGGGGATAAGGGGGTTCTCGAGTCGATGGGGGGGACCACACCACCGCGAGGACGCCGGTGGTGGTGGTGTTGGTGGTGGTGGTGACGGTTGCCAGTGGGAGTGGTTCCGCGAAGCAGAAGTCCTCCCGGGGCGGTCGGGAGCTCCACGGGGCCGCGGATTGAAAAAATCGTTTCGCCGCCCGCTGGCGGAGATTCGTGCCGGCCCCCATTGCGCACCCGGCGATCTCGAACCTGAGCGCCGCCGTGGCGACCTGTGGGGCGAGGACTGCTGAACTGGAGGGCTTCGGCGTGCTAGCGCGCCGATGTCCTTCAGGTCAGTAATCCTCGCTCCGGTTGTCGCCACGGCGCGCAGGGATCATATCGCTGAACTGAAGGGGTTCCAGGGTGCGTGCCAGGCGGCGCGCGGCCTTTAAGCATTCCGGAAAATGTAAAACTCGAATGTGCCGCAATTTTGGTTTGCCGACGTTTGTTGGCGAGCGCGTTCTGGATGTCTGCAGCGGTGCTTCGTGTCAACTTTCAGACTGGGTCTCGTCATTTTCAGGATGGCCCCGTCAGGCCAACCTGAGTCCCCCGAACCCGAGTCCTACGTCTCCCCGAAAAGGTGCAGAATGTGGAGGTCGCGGGTTTGAGGGCTCGAAGTTTTTGGACGTCTTTCGCCTTTGTTGGGCCTATTGGGATTTTTCGTCGCCGTTGATGGATTTCCCTCCGAGTCCTGGCCCAAGCGCACCCTAGGAGAGGTGGAGTCCTGGGGGGTCGGCTTTCAGGGTCGCGGTGGAGTCAGTGGATCCTGATGGAAACGGGTCCTGGATTTTTTCAATGTGGCCCATCATTCGGGATGACGGGTTCGTTCTGGAGAACGCCCCGAAAACCCAGGACCCGTCTCCTCTTGTGCTGGTCGGCGCTTCTCTGATCGACCTGCATGGATAAACAGGAAGACTTGGCGATGTAAACCAAGGGAGCTCGATGCACATCCTGGCAGTTCGATGCCAATCTGGAGATGCTTCCAGGCAGATCTTGAGAGGTCGCCGGGCATCACGAGCGGCGAACGTATCCATATCCACGCCCCCGCGGATTGGACTCTGGGGCGCGATGCCGTGGATACGCGCTTGCATGGGTACGTTCCGCGCGGGGCATCTGCGAGAAAACGCCCCGTACTGACAGGGTGGCGGCCCAGGGGCCTGGCCTGCGAGGCTGTGTCCTCTGCCCACGAGAACGTCCAGCGCGAGTCGGGGGGCAGCTGAGATCGTGAAGGCCAGGATCCATTTTGCTCGTTCTTGTTCCAGGCCCGGGTTGGTGGTTGGCCTCTTCGGCGAGATCGGCCTCGGGCCCCCCTGGCGTCGCGCGCGCGAGTGCTCAGGGTTTCTTTCGCGGAGGGGGGGGATTCAAGGGCGTAGAGTTTTCCATCGTCCCGAAATTTCGGCGGATGGTTTTTGACGGTTTTCGGCCTCCGTGGGCCTGGCTCCGGGACCATCAGGAAACGATCTGGGATGAGAAGCGGGCTCTGGGAAATTGGTCGAAACCTTCGGGGGCCCGCGTTTGGACACCAATCGCGACGTCGAGAGTCTGGGAGGTGAAGTCCGTTCAGCCAACCGCGATCTCCATGTCAGGAACGCCCGTGCGGTCAGCGCGCTGGAAGACACACCCTTTTGTTTTCAGAACGGGCTCGGGATCTTCGGTTTTTCACGTCGGCGCCATCAAGGGATTTTGTTAGGGTCAGTGCCTTCGCAGAGGCGTGTGGTGCCTAGTCGCTCTTGGGTTACTCCCAATCCTCCCGTGTTTGTGTGTCCTCGTTTTGAACCCGCAGCGCCGCGCGTTTCATCTCACTTCTCCCGTTTTTCCCCTTCATCCTTCTCCTCGCCCATCCTCCTCGCCCCTCGTTCGGCACCAACTCGCGCGGATTGTCCGCCCTCTTCCAATTACCCCTACCTTCCTTCCGCACCTCGTTCTCATTATCCTTCTCCCTCCCTTCTTCTCCTTCGTGTCCTTCCTCCCCTTCTCCCTCTCCGTCCCCCTTCCTGTCTCCTCCCCGTTCTATGCATCCGCCCCCTCATTATCCTTTCTTTCTCATGTTCCTCTTCCACCTCCCACTATCCCCGCGCCTCCGCCTTCCTCCTCCTGTCTCCTCCATGCTCTCAATTCCTACCCCGTCGACCACGCACAGTGCGAAGGCGGCCGCGCGCTGCATCGACCTCCTGCCCCGGTCGTCGATCTCCCCCCCCTGGACCTTCAATCTTCCCCGCTTCCGCTTCCTTTTCCTCCTCCTCATCCTCTCCCCTCCCCCTCCTTCTTCGTCCTCCTGGCCCCCTCAGCAGGGGGTTGTTGCGCGGCGGGCGGAGCGGGTGTGGGGGGCGGGGGGGGGGGGGCGCGAGGAACTCGGGCGAGCACGCCGTCGCTTCCCTCCCACGAACTGAGACGAGGGTGCCGCCGGGGGGGGTCCTACTCTCTCCCGCCGCCCGTGGACGAGGGACGGGGGAGGGCCCAGAAGGAAGAGGGAAGGGATGGAGGAAGGAGCGGGATGAGGATAAGAAGGATGAGCAAGAGCACGACCAGGAGGCGCAGGAGAGAACGGAGGGGAAGGAGGATAAGAAAAAAAGTCTGAGGGAGAGAAGGGGGAGGCTGAGAAGAACGAGGATCATGCGGAGGAGGAGGAGGAGGAGGAGGAGGAGGAGGAGGAAAAGGGGGAGGAGGAGGTGCCGCGCGCGCCCGAGCCCGAGCTTTTTGCCGCACAGGGCGGCCGAGGCGGTGGCCAGCGCGGCCCGTCAGGTGCCCGCGACATTCGGAACAGTTCTCTAGACATCCGTTTTCTCGCACACCTGCGAGGGCCACGCCGACATCCACGTCGGCTACATACCACGACATCCACCACATGATCTCACAGCTTGGCCTGGCACAGGCGCCTCCGCCGCGCATCGCTAGGGCGCGGGACCTCCTCGGCGCTCACCGCAGCGCTCAGCACCCACCACGACTACAGCCGCCACCCAAACCACCAGCACGACCCACACCAACTACTGGTGCAGGACCAGCAAGGTGGAACGAGGAAAACCTTTACTGGGACTTGAAACGCGACCGCAACAACAACCTGAATGATAATCTCATGAGCATGATCACCAAACTGAAGAAGGAGGAGGGCAGCCGGGTCGACAACGAGAAGACTCCCTCGGAGCACAATGCTGTCATCACCACCATCATCATCGGCGTCATCCCGATGAGGAAGGGAGACGATATCAAGCATTAACTTCGGGAGGGACCACCGCGAGCGCCGCGCGCGTGCGCTTCTTGGAGGGCCAATGAACTACAGTTGATGCGAGCATACGCCCTCGTCGCCCTCAGAAGCAATTGCGCGCAGCTTCCCGCCGAAGACCTACTCACCATGATCGCCCTCGTCAAGGCCATGATCCAGAAAAGCTACCCTACCAAGGACAACATCAAGGATGTAGGTGAGCACAGGAGGACCTCCATGGAGGCGAGGAACAACCTCCAACTGCACGTTGTCAAGTTCAACGCGTACATCGCGGGGACGAGCCGGATGCTGCACGCATGCGCCGCTGTAAAGGACGACATCATCGGGGACACAGAGTTCGGGAACCGACGACGAGCATGAGGACACGAAGCCGCGCGCCAGGACCAGGAGAGAAAGTCCACCGCCCCATCCACGGCGACGGTTCAGCGGACACATAGGGGCACCATCCCCAGGGTCGGTTCGCGACCGCGCGACTGACCGATATCGGGTCCTCAGCAAGAATCTGCAGCAGGAGAAGCAATACCCACTTCACAGAGGAGGCGAGGACCTTCAAATCAGTGAGGGACCGCATGGGCGGCAAGTCCGAGAGCGCGTCGCGAATATCAGATATAGTGACGCTCTATCATACCAGCGGCAGCAGTTATTCCCGGCCGTCAGAGACCAGGAGTGGAACGAGCTGCACCTCAAGCGAAAAACAAGTAGCTGCAATTCAAGCAGAAGACCGACCATACCACCACACCAAGCAGTCAGAGGAGAACAGCACGGACATATTCATCGAGGCGGGCAGAAGGGGGGGTGCTTAGGATTGAGCTCGAAGCAGCAAGCGATCACATGCTCAATGTAAAACATGGCTCGCGAGCTCCAGGAGGCAGCAGCACAACGGCACTACAATAATGAGGACATCACCAGTAAGCCCCAGGAGGCGCGGCAACGAAGCGCAAGCCGTTCACGAGAAGACGCACGCGGACAAGCACCAGCGGAGCGGAAGGCAGGATGATATGAACACAATGGTGATCTCGACAACCTCAGGGGGGGATCCACCAGCAGAGGGGCATCGAAGCCAACGAGCAGATGGAGGCGCAACAGACGGAATCGAGAGCCACGAATTTCGATGACACACAGGTCATCGAACTCCAGCGGGGGGCGGCAGGACCCATTGACAGTGAGGCCAGATCCGCGTGCGACGCGTCCAGGGAGGCCAGCGCGCACGAACGCGCGGTGGTGCAGCAGCAAGCGCGTGCGCTCATGGAGGCACGAGAACGTGCGCAAGAGCTCATCGAGGGGCGCAGAGCCCGCGGCGACCGCGCGGACGAGATGATCGCGAAGAAGATCGGCGGCATGATCCGCCCACGAGAACTCGCGGGGCCCCGAGCACATGGCGACCGATGGGCGCTGGCAGCAACCGCGCTCGAGATCGACGAAGCAGCGGGGGCGGTGGCTAGCATGGAAGCGGAGGCTCGCAGGCACAAGCGTGAGGCCATCCAGGGTGTGACCATCTGAGCCAACAACGACCGCAACGAGTACCAGGCGGCACCAAGGAGAGATCAGGACACTCCGATCGGAGACAGAGACGGTCACAGCCGCGATTGCGAGCGCAGCACCCTCTGGGGCCTGCAGTTGGACAGTAGGTTCAGAGGAAACATACTGCCGAACAGAACGATCCCCAGGATAGCGGACCGAAACCTCGCCCCCACGGTCGCGCGGGCGCCGGCAAGCCCTGGGCCGACAAGCCCGTGCTGTCCCCAGGGTCCAGACGCGGGCGGACCGATCGATCGGATCCGACGAGGGGGGATGCAGCACGGTGGCAGGTGCCTTCGCCAGACCATGACATGCCTGACGTGGGCGCCCCCCTCGCGGGCGGCCTCCTCCGCGTCCGCACCACTGCGGGGCGGTGTGAGCGCGTGGGAGGAGGCCACCTCCACATCAACAGGAGAAGCACCGCACGCCGCCGCCAGGACACGGTCCCCACCACCAGCCTTCGAAGCTTGATGCCCATCAGGAGGGGCGTCGGAAGCATGCAGGCGAGCAGGGCAAGTCAAGGAGGAGAGACTCGAACGAGACTTACCGTGCCCAGAGCCCTACATGCAGAGCCAGGCACCTGCTCCAAACCATGCCTGAGCTCAGTAGAGCCCTGAGTGGGTTCCTCAGGGTGCGAGGCCTGTCTGGGCCTGCGTGTGGCCTTGACACGGAGACGGATGTCAACCCTGGCCCCGTCAACAAGGAGAGAACAAGCATGCACCATTCATGTTACAACCGCAACGAGGCTACGATGAGCTATGCTCATAGCACTGATGTTGTGTTTTTTGTGTGCTTTCCGGGCCTCGGGAACCCTGGAGAGAATTCTGGAGGCTTTCGGAGAAGGAGAAGGAGGAGCAGGAGGAGGAGTATATTGGCAGGAGAGGGATTGGCTTAAGGAGGAAGCATCGAGACGTCGACCCCTGGTCGCCCATTCATCGATGATCGGGACCCCCACCCTGCTCGGGAACTTGCGATATCGCTGCCAGGGGTTTATTACCCACGTGGTTTGCCGCCTCGGCGCGGCCGCGACGCTGGCGCGAGCGGTCAAGAATGAACACCCTCCAGTGGCCCGCTTCTGGCCCTGGGACGCTCAGAAAACAACACAGAACGCAAAGCCCATACATCATATTGGTTGTGTTGAGAGTCTTTGGGGATCGCGGAAAACGAATACCGTTTAATGTTGAGCACTTCAGGCGATGGCCGAAACTCGAGTCGACGTCGTGACGGCATTCACCTGCTGTATCGGGAAAGCGTCAGACTCGAGTGCGCCGGAATTCGACTTTGCCTTCGCTTTTTGATGAGTCCATTCTTGATTTTGACGGTCCAGTTTTCGCGAGATGTTTGCAGCGGGAGTTCGCGTCAAGTTTCAGACCGAGTCTCGTCATTTTTGTCAACGGCCCCGTTAAGCCAATACGAGTCCCGCAAACTCGAGTCTTACGTCCCCCCGACTGTACGTCTCCACGCATCGATCCTTTGGAAGAGGCCTTGCGGCCAGTTCTGCCGGCCCTGAGGGGGCATCGGGAGATCCTGGGAATCAAGGGCTCCCCCGAGGGTGCGAAGTTATTCGCACTTCGCGCTTCGCGGTCTGGGCAACGTCACAGCGAGGCGCGAAGCTATTTGCGCTTCGCGCTTCGAGAGCCCCTCGTCTTACCCCAGGGTGGGGGGGGGGCGGCGCAAAAGCGCGAAGTTGTTGGCGCTTCGCGCCCCGCGCAAAGCGAAGCGCGAAGTTAGGCGCCCTTGGGGAAGTCTGCGAGGGAGCCGAGGGGCGCACGAGTGAACGCCGACTTCTATTTCCCAGAACGGCCTGGGGAGCACCTCGAGCCTGGAGAAGAGACAGAGCTCTGTGCTGGGTGGCGGGCAAGAGTTATCATGTCCCAGCCAAGTTGAGCCTTCACCGCCAGAAAGAATTTTGAGCCCTGGTAGGCGATACTCATTCGAAACTTCGCTAGCGTGTCGGGCAGACGCTGTTTTGATACTATTCGGTATGCGCGACACTAATTCTGGGCTGTGGTCCTCAATACGATGGGAGCAACATAAGGCAAGGGGACTCAGTGGCCCCTTGGGGGTGCATGCCTCTCCGCCTCGGGTGCATCTTTCAGGCGTTTTTGAGGCCTCAACCCCAAGAGGCATCGCGGGGATGTCAGGGGTGCCTCTCGGAGATTTTGCGGACCTGCTTGATGCGGCTGGAGGTCCTTGGAAACACCGTGGCCATTTCGAACCGTCTTGGGGCCGTCGTGGGACTTCTACTACGCATGCTGGAGGCCATCTGGAGCCAACTTGGGCCATATAGCACCATCTTGGAGGCCACATGGCCCCACGATTGTTGAAACCATTCGTAAGTGGGATGTCCCCCCCTGCAGTCAGGTTGACGCGCGTGGAGACCCTTCCGCGGTAGGCTGTTTCCTTTGGGTTGAAGCGCATGGCGCGCAAAATTCGCACTGGAGCTGGATGGGACGCCGTTACCTCCTCACACACGCCAACAGGGTTGGCGGATTCGTCACTCGGGGGCCACGCCGTGCCAAATGGAGACCCTAGCCGAACGCCCCGTTGACCAGATGAGCGCCCAGACTCCCGGAGCGCGGAGCAATTGTCTAAGTTTGCCGTCGTTGTCAAACCACTTTCTCTGTAGCGTTCGTGCACAGTGTGTCTTTGTGTGCAGATTTTTTCGCTGGTGAGTTCGTTCTCTCTTGTTGCTCTGCGTGCGCGTCAGACCTGCACCGCAGAATCATGTATTAGCTCGTAGGCCATGCCCCCATCTTCTGGACAGGCTCTGTCTCTCTATAAGTTCTTGTCTCATATGTATAGATCGGTATCGCTCTCTCTTTCCTTGCTGCTCTTCTGCGGAGAGACACTGCAAACTGCGCGTCTTGGATCCTTCAAGGGAGATGGAGTTCGGGTGCTTCCATGCTCCGTCTCTCAAAGCTTCCATGTTCAGGGTCCCGCGTTCGCACCTCAAGGCCAGCACCAGCCAGGAGTGAGTGGAACACGAGCAAAGCACCATAAGAGCGTGAGTAGCGTACGTACGCGCAGGTCCAGTCAGCGGCATAAATTGCCTGTTCCGCATGTCCACGGTCTGTGCAGAAATTCGATGTCAATAATTTAGTCTCGCAGTTCTCTGGAAAGATGCGTCCCGAATTTCTCGCCTTGCAAATGTGCACATGGCGAGGAGCGGGGGCTTCCAACACGGCGCCTCGTCTTTTGCCTCCTTAGATGCCCGCTTAGAATGTTCCAAGCCGGGGCCGGTCCCCTCTGAGGCGCCCCATGCCCTCTTCAATTGGTCACCCTTGCGAGGGCTAGCTTCGGAGGCGCACCCTCACGTGTTCCATGTCTGGGCCGTCCGAATTGGCACTCTGTTCGTCCCTGTCGTCTCCACCGGGCCCTGGGCCCTCGACGAGGGGGCTCACGCTCTGGACCTGCGGTTACTGGGGCTATGTCTCGACCGTGCTTGTGGGCGGAGGAGAGAGGAGGAGGACAGAGGCGGGGGCATCTGGAGGAATCCCAGAGCGTCTGAGGACCCCCGTGAGCCTCCAGAATCTTCTGAGGATCTCCACAGATCCCTTCGTCATCGCCGCCTTCGTCTTCTCCTCCTTATTCCTCTTATTTTTGTTAGCATGGTCTTGTTATGATTTAATCGCTTCGCTCATTCCGCCGGCCCTTCTCGTGGCACCTCTGTCGATTGCCCGAGTCATGGGGGTTAGTGCGATGCCGTTTGTTGTGGCTTGTATTACTGAGGGGGTCGCAGTTACTGTGGTGTTTCGGGGGTTCGTCGCAGTCTCTGACGGGGCTGTCTTGGGGCAATCGTGGGTGATCACGGGTCGGTAGTTGCTTTGCTTGTGCCGGTGAGGGGCTGATGATTGTGGATGGTCGTCGTGGGCCATTTCGCAGATTTGAGGTATTCGTCGCAAGCTTGAGCCTTATCCATTTGGAGGGTGATGCCTTATGAATGTGATCGCAGGAGGAGGAGGAGGCGGAAGGGGGGGATGAGGAGGGCGAGGAGGAGAAGGAGGAGGGGCACTTGGAGGAAGAGGAGGGATGAGGAGGAACAGGAGGAGTAGGGGCGAGGGGTTAGGAGGATAGTACATGCTTTCCAGAGCTTTCGGGAACGCTCTCAGAGCGGTGTTTGTCCCAACCATCCTGTTGTCTTGGATCCTCGTTTTGGAAAGAGCGCCCCGCGTGACGTTACTCCTCCTCCTGCCCCCCCTCCTTCCCCCTCTCGTCAGCATCATCAGCATCATCAGCATCATCTCATCATCACCCTCGTCGTCATCAGAACCATCATTATCGTCATCGTCTTCGTCATCGTCATTATCATCATCATCATCATCATCATCATCATCATCATCATCATCATCATCATCATCATCATCATCATCATCATCATCATCATCATCATCATCAATATCATCATCATCATCATCATCATCATCATCATCATCATCATCATCAGCATCATCATCATCAATATCATGGCCGTCATCATCACCAGCATTAGGGTGATGCACTGAATGTCCCAGTGGTACAGTCAGCATGCGTCCACGACACCTATGTTGACACATCCTACCACACGTTTCTTGGCCCGAAAGGGAGTTCCACCGAAGGTTTCAGTGGCGCAGTTCGCATGCGTCCCCGCCACCCATTTCGGCACACCCATCACACGCGTCGTGGGCCCAAAGGGAGTTCCACCGAAGGTCCCATCAGTGCAGGTCGCATGCGCCCTCGCCACCCATGTGGGTACATCCTTGACACTCTCGCGGCCCCATCGGAAACGCCATGCAAGGTTCCAGTGGCGCAGTTCGCATGCGACCCCGCTGCCCATGTCGGCACGCGCCTCAGACGTCTCGTGGCTCCATCGGGAGTTCCATTGAATGTCCCAGGGGCGCAGTCCGCATGCGTCGCCGCCACTCATTTCGGTACACCCCTCACGCCCTTCGTGGCCCCATAGGAAGCTCCACCGAAAGGCACAGTGGCGCAGTTAGCATGCGTCCCCGCCATCCATGTTGGCATGCCCCTCGCGCGCTTCGTGGCCTCAAAGGGATCTCCATCCAAGGGCACAGTGGCGCAGTGCTTATGCGTCCCGCCACCCATTTCGGCACACCCCGCACGCGTTTCGTGACTCGACAGGGAGTTCCACCGAAGGTTCCAGTGGTGCAGTTCGCATGTTTCCCCGCCACCCATGTCGGCACATCCCTCACGCGCATCGTGGCCCCATAGAGGCTCCACCGAAGGTCCCAGTGGCGCAGTTCGCATGCGCTCCCGCCACCCATGTGTTTTCCTTGGAAAGGAGCTCAAGCCTAGGCTTCAGTTGTTTTCCCCCTGGCCTCGACTTGAGGTGGGCCGGCGAATGTAATCTGCGAAGAATAACGAGGTCGAGGTGGGCCCGAGAATGAATGAAACGCTGGTTCGTGAAAGTCCGATCGATAACACACATGGTGCTTTAAGACGTTTCTTGTGTTGTGGATGTCTCGCGCGAAACGCCTGGTTTGCATATTTTGTTCGGGATATGTCTAGCGACATGCGTCTTGTGCTATAGATCGTTCCTTTCCTGGGGACGGAACTGCAGAGGATGGGTCAGGTGACATGTTGTTTTCACGTGCCTAGGTCTTGAGGATGTTCCGAGCGAGACGCTTGGTTTGACGCCTCCAGGTTGCCCAGGCAGCTAGCTTACATCAGGATTTGTTGAGGATGTCTTGAGCGATTCGCTTGTTTGCACGCGTCCAAGTCGTCCAGACAGATGTCTAGCATGAGGATGTGTTGAAGACGTGTTTCGAGAGAGACGCTTGGTGCCGATTGTTGTCGCTTGTCCATGTCGCCCAGGTGGATGTCTAGCATGAGTATGCGTTGAGGATGCGTTGAGCAAAACGTGAGCTTTCACGTGTCCAGGTCGCCCAGGCGGATGTGCATTTGTTGAGGATGTCTCGAGACAGACGCTTGCTTGCACGTGTCCAGATCGCCCAAGCGGATGTCTTACATGAGGATGCGTTGACAAGGTCTCAAGCGAGACGCTCGCATTCAAGTACCCAGCGCGCCCAAAGCACCCAGGCAGATGTGCAACATGAAGTTGCGTTGAGAATGCCTCGAGCGAGACGCTTGCTTTCGCGTGTCCAGGTCGCTCAGGCGGATGTCTAGCATGAGGAGATGTTGAGGATGTGTCGAGCGAAACGCTTGTTTTTCACGTGCCCAGGTCTCCCAGGCGGATGTCTAACATGAAGGTGGTCGGAGGATGTCTCGAGCGAACCTTTCGTTTTCGTGTGTACAGGTACCCCAGGCGGATGTCTAGAATGAGGATGTGTTGGGGATGCGTTGAGCGAAACGCATGGTTTCACGTGTCCAGGTCGCTCAGGCTGAGGTCTAGCATGAGAGGGTGGTCAGAACGTCTCGAGGGAGACGTTTGGTTCCTCGTGTCCAGGTCGCTCAGGCGGATGTCTAACATAAGGTGATGTTGAGGATGTCTCTCTCTCGAGAGAGACGCTGGCTTTCACGTATCCAGTTCGCCCAAGCGGATGTCTAGCATGAGGACGTGTTCAGAAGGTCTCGAGCGAGACGTTTGCTTTGACGTGCCCAGATCGCCCAGGCAGATGTCGAACATGAGGATTTGTTGAGGATGTCTCGAGCCAAACGCTTGTCGCAGTAGAGTGCGTCGCAGGCCAACATCGCTCGTCCGTGGGGCGTCCCCTAGCACCCCGGCGTGTGCCCTGGCGCCTTTGGGGGATCTCCACAGATCTCTTCGCCATCTCCTTCTTTCTCTTGTTCCTATTCTTCTTCGTCGTCGTCGCTTTCGTCGTCCTCGTCGTCGCCGCCCCGCTCCGCCATAGGCGCGTCAGCGTGCGGGGGAGCAGCGACCACTGGCCCGATGCGGTCGAGGCCTTTGTCGCCCGGATCCTCCAGGCCATGGGGGGCGGATGCCCACGCGGAGCGCCCTCCTTCTCGCTCCAGGAGGGTCATCGTCCTCGTCCCTGCTCCTCCTCTCCTTACTGCAGGGCTCTTCCGTCCTTCTCCTCCTCCTCTTCCTGCTGCGCCGCCCTGCTCTTCGTCTTTAGCAAGCGCGCCCAAGGGTTAGTGGAGGGAGCTGAAGAATCTGGTGCGCTCGTCTCCTCCACACGGGCCGTGCCGGCCAGTTTTACAGTTCGGTGTGCCAGCAGTTTGCGCCTCAGGCGACCGCGGCTACTCGTATCAACATTCGCCACGTGCTCGACGGCAATATGTCGGATATCGCAATTGTTGTGGGAGGAATGGTGGTTTCTTTGGAGTGCCACTGGAAGAGAACGACTTACCTCACCAGAAAACCAGACGTTGCAGGAAAGTCAACGGCAGATCTTTCATGGAGTTCAATCGGCTGTCACGGTGTACGCCGATCTGGTCAAGGTGCTGGACGAGGCCAAGGAGAGCACAAGGCAGTCGTCAAGACACCATTGTGGCCCCCAGGGGGGCAGCAGGAGGAGGACAAGGATCTGGGGCTCGATGATGGGGCCCTGATGGATGGGACCCTGAGGACGTGAAATGGCTTCCAGGCTAAATTTTGCACCGTCCAAGGCCTCCTTCACCTAGGGCGCCAGTTCGTAGGTCCCGATCTCTCACGCGCCGAAAGGAGGAGAAAGAGAAGGAGGAGGAGGAGGAGGAGGAGGAGGAGGAAGAGGAGGAGGAGGAAGGGAAGTGAAGGGGGTAGGGAGGACGATAAGCAGCGTCAGCCATGCGCCAGCCAGCGCCAAGCAGTCATTGCATTCGCCAGCGAACCAAGTTGCGGTTGGGCGACTGGGATGATTGCGCAGGCAGTGGAGTTGACAAGTCATTGGGAACAAAAATACATGGCACCGCCTTGATTGCACAACGTAGATCGCACCATAGGTATGTCATTCCATGGGTTGTTACACATGTGTTGCACAACATGTATTTCTAGAAACATAAGGCGCAGGGAGTCATTCGGGAAACGCACCCGAAGCGAAGCGCAGCCACCCCGCACGCGGAGCCGAAAGCCGAGGCCCCGAACACGACTCGATTTCGTGACGCCCCATTCGTGCGCCGTCTTCTTGGCAATTCGGGAATGCGATTCTGAGTGGGGCCGTGCTACACACAACGACGGAAGGCCAGCCCAAGTTGGCACCGCAACACCCAGCTCGACATGCCCCACCGCCGACGCAGGTTCCGCACGTTCACCCCAAGTCGGCTTTCCCCGACACGTCCACACGCATCATTCCCAGCGCAGAGCAGGCCTGGCCGAGGAGGGGAGCACGAGGCGAGGAGAGCTGGAGGCATCCAACTCACAGCTCGTCTTGTTTGGTATTGTCTTGCCGCTGTCCCGCCTTCAAACATCCCAGCGCCGCCAGCGGCCTCGTCACGACCGCGGCGCACATCCACTTGCTCCGTCGGCGGATTGTCGGACGACGCCGTCGCCGCACACCGCATCTCCACCTTGCGTTCTCCAGCACGCAGGGCGCTACGTACTTCATCCCCACACGCAGTACGTACTCCGAAAACGCCCCAAAACTTGAAGCAGACCTTCGAACGAATCCGCCGCGTCGAGCGTCGACTGGAGCAGCGCCAGCATGTCCTGCAGTTCACGTTCACTCCGCGAGGTGCAACCGCCAGCCGCTGCCATTTGTCCAGGCCATGCCGAGTTGGTCCACGAAGGACCTCCAGCTTGTCCATCAAGTCAATCCCAGTACGACGTATCTGGACGACGACCAAGTTGTTCCGCAAACCCAAGACCGCCCAGGAGAAAACGGATTTGTTTCCGTGGCCTCTAGTTCGTTCACAAAGCGAGACGCGTTACGACGGCGCTGGGTAACGACACCATGCGTCGTCCGCCACGCCAGGACCGCCTTCGAGAGCAGGATTTCGTTGTGGAGCATACCGAGCGCGCTGCCCTGCACGTCCTGCACCTCCAGCTTGCTCTTCACGAACGCCTCCGCCTGGAAACTCACGTCCGAGCCCGCCTCGGTCTCGGCACCGCCCCGTGCCAGCACCACAGGCCCCTCAATGAGCCCCGCCAGGATGGTTCGGCTACGGACTCCGTCATGAGCCCTTCCATGCTGTACGGGTTCCTCCCGTCTTTCCTCAAAGACGCTCTGCGCCTCCAGCACGCCGTCGCCGTCGCTGGGTAGGCTCTGCGCCGCCTCCTGCATGCGCTGCCTCTCGCTCTGGAGGTCCAGGGACCCACGGTCGTCAGGGACGCAGCATCGATGTAGTCCGCCCATCGCTCGGTGATGTCAGCGCTCTTGCCAGCCCTCCAGCACGGCAAGTACTTGAAAGGGTGGGAGCACGGGACGCTCTTGCTTCTTCACGTTCGCAATGTTGCCGAACCCGTCAAGGCTCCGTTCGCCCACGCGCGACTCCGTGGTCCACGCCACCGATGTCGCACTCCAAAGTCGGCATCGCCGAGGAAGAACGCCATCGCGTTCCTCAGCCGGGATGCGACAGGCTGCAGCGCCAAGAGGAATTTGTCAATGATAGCCTCCTGCTCCGCCTCATACAAGCGCAATCCATCCTGCGCCTTACCCAGCATGTCATCCTCCAGGACGAGGGTGTAGCAGAAGAAGGAGGAGGGAGGAGGAACGATAGGAACGATGAGGAGATGGAGGTGGAGGAGGAGGAGGAGGAGGAGGAAGGTCGGGGAGTGGGGAGTAGGAGGATGGGGAGGAGGAGGAGGAGGAAGAGGAGGAGGAGGAGGAGGAAGAGGAGAAGATAGGGCATGAGAAGAGGATGGGGGGCAGAAGGGGCAGAAGGGGTAGAAGGGGTATAATGGGTAGAGAAGGAGGAGGAGGAGGAGGAGGAGGAGGAGAAGGAAAAGGACGAGGAGGCTCCCGCGCCCAGGGTCTCGCCGAGCCGCTGGTTTCACCCAAGGCGCCGCCCGACAAGTGCGACGACGCCGACTCCGCGCCCACCGCCGCGGGAGACTGCTAGACAACCGCGGCTGCGGATGAGAACAAAAAGGGCATGGCGAGCGTGCCGTTCACCATCACCGTGAAGAGAAGGGTCCTCGAAGGTGTCCGCGGTCAGGTCAGTTCAGCTGCGTCACAGTCGGTTGCGCTCGGCCAGTTAGGTTCGGTCGGCTGTCGCCGCGCCCTTGTGGGCTGCTTGCGGCCCGTTGGTTCGGTCGGTATTCGATTGTCTCGTTATGGGTGACCTGGCATAGAAGAAGAGGGGGGTCCTGAGTCTGTTCGTCGTTCTCGGGCTTCGGAGAGCCCTTCCTGGGTCCAGCGGCTGTCAACGCGGAACAACGCGGGAGGAAGAGATGGTATCGGGATAAAGCCCTAGGTTCGCGGCCATCACCGTCGCACCAACTCATGCTGCAGCCAAGATGTTGAAAGAGTGGCCCCTTTGAGTTCAGGAGGGGCCACGATTTACCAGGCGCTCCTTAGATTTGGGTCGTGGAGCCTTTTCGTGGTCGGGGCTCGCCGTGGCCAAAACAGGCCCCTTCGTTCTTTCGTGAATGTGTTTCTCGCGAGGTAAACTCCCACCAGCTGACCTGGACTGAACTGACTGGTCGCACCCGTTACGCGACGGTTTTGTTTTCGGCGGCCGAGGGCGCAACGTATGGCGCAAACAGTAGGAGACGATTTTATTCTCGGCGGCCGAGGGCGCAATGTATGGCGCAATCAGTAGCAGACGGTTTTATTCTCGGCGGCCGAGGGCGCAAGCTATGTCGCAACCAGTAGGAGACGGTTTTATTTTGTCGGCCGAGGGCGGAACCGATGGCTGAGCGTGGAACCAGTGTCGCACCCAATCGGCGCCCGTGTTAATCTCTGCGGGCCGTCGACCGCGTGGAGGAGGGCAGTGCGAGAAGGGCGGGGAAGAGGAGGAGTAGGAGGGGGAGGGGAAGGGGAAGATGGGTGGCCAGGAACAGGACGACGAGGAGGACAAGGAAGAGGAAGACACGAGGACGAGTACATGGAGGAAAAGGACGAGGATGAGGAGGAGGGAGAGGAGGAGGAGGAGGAGGAGGAGGAGGAGGAGGACAAGGACGAGCACGAGGAGGATGACGTCCACGAGGACGAGGACCACGAAGAGGAGGAGGAGGAGGACGAGGATACCAAGGGGGATAAGGAGCAGGATGAGGACGGGGAGCAGGACGGGGAAGGGTGGGAGGAGGATGAGGACGAAGACGAACAACGAAGACGACGACGACGGCGACGGCGACGGCGACAGCGGCGACGACGACGTTAACCAGCACCGCCACCGCGACGACACCCTAGGCGACCACGACCTCGCCGACGTGGCCCTGACTGTCTGGACTTGGGACTGCGTGTTGGGCTACGCCCAATTTCTGCTCGCCGTTTGGGCTGGCTGCGGGGCCCAAGCGGCGCGCTGTCTTTTGATTTTCGGGGTCGGCCCTCATGGTAGCACGTCGGCTGCATCCTGGATGCGCGCGAGCGCGGGAGGAGATGCTCGACAGCGGTGTCGATCCCAGAGGCGAGAGCGCGGAGCGCGAGGGTCTGGGGGCGATCCTTGGCTCAGGATTCGGCTTGGCTTACAGCGGAGGGCTGCTCAGGCCCACCTTTATAAGAGCTTCCACAGGGGGGAGGGCGCCCCGAGCAGTTGAGAAGATTTTGATGCCGCGTGGCTCCAACCATCCGACATCATAAGATCGTCTATGCGCGACCCGCTGAGTTGGTCCGACTGGGTTCGATTGCGCCGCGTGCCACTTGCCAAGAACACGCTCGTTTCCGCACCCCCCTTTCCTCTACCCTCTCCATCCCCCCCGATGTCTGTTGTCATGTCCCGGCGGTCTCATATTCCTTACCATAATATTTCATTTCCTATGCCCTTCCATCTCCTCCTCTGCCCGCGTCTGCACCTACTCCTCGTCGCACTCCGCAACTTTGTCCTCGTCCCCTTCCTTCTTCACGCCCTCCCAAACTTTTTTACGTCGGCGGCCAGGCGGGGCAATCCGCTCCAGCGTGGCAGCGACGCAGGGACACTACAAAGCGAATTGGGCGGCATGTAGGATGGGGAAGGAGGAAGGACGGGGCGGCCGCGGAGGGGGGGAGGGCGAGCACCCAGAGGCGGAATACTTCCGCCATGAGCAGCCGAAGCGGCCCGCGGGCGGCGGGGACGGCGTCCAGTGGGCTGGAGCGCCAGCCAGGCAGACCGCGTCAGCAGGCGCGATGCACCGGGCAAGGGGAAACAGTGCAAGCGACCGTGGGCTGCCTCGAGCAAATTGCTTCGTGTGTGTTCTTCAGTTGGACGTGCGATGCCATACGCACTGGCGTGGGGCCAGTGGGCGACGCGTCCGTGCGTCCAGTGGGGCGGCAGGGGCGCGGTGGCAGCGAGCGAGAGCCGCGAGGCGGCGGCGCCATGGCGGCCGGAGGGAGGGGGAGGAAGAGGAGGGCGGTCGAGGGAGTGAAAAGGAGGTGTGCCCGCAGCTGCGGCGACAGCGGCGCCCTCCCAAACAAGAATCATCGTTTTCGTTGTCCTCCTGCGTTCCCTCTTATTTGCGCCGTCTTCTCGCGCCCTCCCCCACTCCTCCGCCTTCCCCGCGCACCTTTTTTTATATTATTATCATTTGCCGTCTTGTTTTCTTTTGCCTGTTCTTTCCTCTTTCCACGGTCGGCATTTTGGGCCTCCTGTTCCGCCGCGCTTGTTCATTGCGTTGTTCTTCCGCTTCCTCGTTCACCCTCCTCCCCTCTTTTTGTTGTTTTCCGCTGGGAACCTCCAGGGGTTCTTTCTGGGACATTCTTGGATTTTCTTGGGAAGGACAGGTGATGCCTTCTTGGCGACGGCATGGCCCGAGGTGCCCTGGCGATAGAGCGAGGAGACGGGGGGGCAGGGCGGGGACGAGGGTGACGAGGCGCACCATGAGGTACTAAGCCCGCGGTTGTCAGGGGTGGCAGGCGCCCCCTGAGGCCCTGGCGAGAACTTGGAGGCCACGTATGGCTGTCCCGACGGGTGGCTTCCATGTCGAACCCCTCCCCGCCTCGAACGCCGCTTTGCGAGCATACGTTAGGGCAGCGGATGGGGGCGGCTACGAATGCAACAAAAACAAAAAAAAAAGGAAGGGGGCGGGAGAGGAGGACCAGGAAGAGGGAGGAGGGAGGAGAGGAGGGAGGAACGAGGAGGAGGAGGACTAGGGAAATAGGTTGTGAGTTCATCCATGGGTTCCCCCCTCTATTTGCCCTCCGCGTTTTTCTCCTCCCCATCCTCCCGATTCTCTCATCCGTTGCCTCATGCTCGTTACCTTTCTCGTTGTAACCTCTTTCTCTGTTGCCTCCTTCTCCCTCCAAACCTCTGTCCTCGTTGTCTCTAGCTACTCGTATCGTTCTCCACCCTTGACGGCCACCCAGTCTACTCCACTCTAGTCTGTAGTCTACTCTACTCCACTGCGTTACCCGCTACCCGCCCCTATTGCTGGATTCGGCTCGGTTCGTTCGGGGCCACAGCACAAGCCCCGCCATTTGCTCCGTGGCTCTGTTTGGGGGCTGCCCCAACCCACGGCGGTGTGGTTTCGGGGTCTTCGGGAGTCTCCGTAAGGAAGTATTCCTGCTAGGTATTCCCAGCCGCGGGGTCCTCCAAATAACAGTTGACTAGATATGTAAATGCATGCGGGCCGATTCGAGTCGACTGGGGCTGGGCGTAGGATGACATTTCGGAACCATGCGTTGAGTCGCTGCGCGCGGACGCCAGCCGTTTTGGTTTGCACAGCGTTGTGGTAGCCACGGAATTCAGATGAGCAGCGCCGAGGCTCTTCTGGGCGGCCCCACCCATGGGGCCCGAACGCGTCCCAAGATGTCGGGCGGGGAACGCTTGAAGCTGCAGAACCAGCTGCCCCAGAAGTTCCTCGTGTACACGTTTGCCAACCATCAGCCGATCGTGCACGGCTTCGTAGAGCTGTCAGAGGCTCGTGTCTTTTAATGACATCATGGGGTCAGAGGGGATACGACATCAGGGGGCCAGGAGTCAGGAGGATAAGTCATTGGGGGCACTTCGTAAATGTGAGAGCTGCAGTCTTACACTGAGCGTGAGATGGGGCCATGCGGTAAGAGGATTGATGGGTCATTCGATTTAAGCGTGCATATCCTGTGGCGACATATTCGGGATCATGCGGTTAGCGAGGTCGCGTCGAGGCACGATGCTATGATGCTATACTCGTGCCGTGCCTGCTGGGTCCCGCCGTTCCCAGGTGTGGTCGTGGGGCAAGGGCAAGCACGCCTATTACGCAGAGGCCCAGCGCGAGGCCCAGGCTCTTGCTGATTCGACTGATGTGTATGTTTGGACAATATCGAAATCGAAAGCCTTGAGTCGCCCGATAATCGTCAATTGTGAGATGAGTAAATCATGGAAGCAAATTGCCCACATTGACGTATGCGCCCCGCTCGTTCCGTTCTTGGCAGAGTGTGGCATCACATCGCATAAGGTTCGTGCGTGGCGCGTGCACGTAGAATTGGTTCGACCACTTCTGACGTCTGGGTGGAAGCATGTTGTCACGTGCGGTCAGTATTCAGTCGTCTGCCGACGTCCCACTTGCATGTGAGCCAGCGTGCGTGCTCTCAGCCAGATGCGCGTTCACACGCGCATGGTAATGTCATCCCATCGGGGCGGGGGACTGGGCAGGTGAAGTTACCAGGCTGGACGCCCGGCGCCCCCTGTACCAGGGGGCTGCGGATCTTCAACAAGCAGGGGTTCAGAAGCCTAGCGCGTCTTTGATTGTACCAGTGCCTCGATGGGGTTTTGCTGACTTGCCAGGGTGTCTTGACGGGGTCGCGGTTCTGCAGGATGCACCCTGCGAAAGAGTCGAAGTCATCCAGCGCGGAGCTGTTGGCTATCGGTTTCGAGGGGAAATTCTGTTGCACTCCTGGCTCATACACGCAGACCTCCGCAATGGCAAGATCGGGGTTGAGGCAATCGTTCGGCGCGTCCTGGAGTTAGTGGTATCCCCTCAACAGAAAGCAGATATGGAAACGAAG